GTTTTTCTATGCCAGTTCACTTATTGAAATGGTAGATTCAGATAAAAATGTGTCTTAATTTGCACTCTGTTTTCACAATGTCTAAATTCAGTTTAAGATTGAATAATTTCCTAGATTTAATGCATTCATTTGTTCTATTGTACACAAGAAGTTGGTAATATATGATGGTAGAAACGTTCAGTGGGGTTCCTTTTATCACAGAGAGGGAGAGCCAAGATGATGCAATGTGCAGCATAATTTAGATCTCAATTAGGCAATCAAAATTACAAGTTAAAAGTGTAACCTCAGTTGTCCTCTTAGGTCTTTGCTAGCACACTCTTCATTTTAGGACTCTTTATTGCTTCATAATAAATTTTACACAAGAGTGGCTGTTCTTTTTTAAGCATGTTCCCTCTGGTCTCTGAGAGCGAGATGTTGTACGCACAAACACTGGGGAATTGGAACAATCTTGTGATGTGTTTGGATTATTCAGAGCCAATTAAAAATAGCCTCCATCTTAAGTGGCTCCAGGTCTGCTAAAATGTCCTGAGGCTTAGTGCAATCTCTACTGTTTGCCTAAGCCAGGAAGATAAACATAGTGTGAAAACATAAGCCATTGTGATGCATTGCAACTTGCTTTAGAGTAAACATTTTCTTTCCTGTTGCTTTTTTCTTGGGAGAGCCTGCAGTCTTTCATGCCTTTAAAGCAATGATGGTTTATTCCATTGGATTTCTGTCCATTATGCAGAGCTGGAAAGGAGGACATACTATAATTTTTATTTATGTGGAAGCCTTTGACCTTTGTCATTGCACAATTACTTGGATTCAGTCTGGGCATCTCAGTGTTGTCATAGTAGTTATGACTGTGCATATTCCATGGTAGTCTGACAGTTGAAGGAATTACTTAGAGTCAGAACAACTTGGTGCTTTTTCTTCAAATATTTACATCATTGCCCAAAAGAATAATTTTAATGTATGGTTACCTAAGCCTTACTGCTTGCATTGCATGAAAAGGATGCTGCAAATAACATCTAAATAGTGATATGCAAATAATTGAAAGTTTCAAGTTCTGACCATTTGGTCTGTAGCACCTATGTGCACTGAGCACAACAGTGACAAGTGAAACATTTATTTTGTGTGCCAGCACAGAGCCTGAGCTGCAAAAATCTGCTGCATAGGATCTACAGATGTAAAGAATGTGGAGTTTATTAATGACTTACAGAGGAAATACTAGAGAAGCTCAGGGCTTACATTAACTCCACATACAAAAGTTTATCTAAAGACAAATACTAAGTTGTGCATGTTGGTTGAAGATGTCTGATTTGGTTTTATGTTTTTTACTGCTGCAGCAGCTTTAGTGAGACCAACACTCGTGTTCATTGTTTCTGGTCTTCCCTTGCACATCCCTCTCTGCACCAGTGCTGGCTTTTAATCTCATTTCCACTCTTGCCTTTCAGGGCTCTGACCCCACAGCTTTTTCTGTGCTTACACAAGCGATTACTGGCCAAGTGGGTTTTGTGGATGCTGAATTCTGTACAACCTGTGGGGGAAAGGGAGCAGACAAAAGATGCTCAGTTTGTAAAATGGTAAGAATAAAAAAAAAAGTTGCACTGAGGTGCTGAGGATTTTGAATGTTTCTCTATTCACTGTGTGTGTAGACTTAGGAAGAATGACATGCATGCCTGCACTGAAGATGTTCAGGCCATCTACTTCTGGGAAAGATGCCTGAAATTTACAATTAGGAAGGAGTACTTGGATTTCCAAGTGTGTACACTTAAGAATGAAGAAGAAGCAAAAATTCTCTATGTTTAGAGTTAATAAAAAACTGCTCTTTATAGATTCTTATATAGGTTAGAGCCACTCCATATAACCTTAAAATTGCTTAAAAATAACATTAAGTACTACACATTGACATTTAACTTGCTGCACTAAGAAATGCAAAGAAATTCTTTTCATACATGAAAATTAACTGGTAACGCTGGTAACTTTTAGGTGATGTACTGTGACCAGAACTGCCAGAAAATACACTGGTTTACCCACAAAAAGGTCTGCAAGACCCTGAAGGAAATTCATGAGAAACAAGAACTAGAAGCTGCCAAGGAGAAAAGGAAACAAGAAAAGAAGCAAAAGAAAGGTTAGGATCTGTTGTTCCCTTGCTGAAACTAATGCTGTGTTAACTGCATCACAAAGAGCAATTTAACAGGTCTTAAAACTGTAACAGCTGAGGTTGGGAGAAAAATCTTTGATGAAACATAACAGCAAAGCTGAGTTTGTTGGGATTCTGGCCTTTAAATTTACAAATGCCGTATACTTTCCAAATGTGGTTTTTAATGATGCAGTTACACAGATTTCTACAATGGAAGCCTTTTGATTCGCCCTGCACTGTTTCAAAATCCAGATCTTTAATCAAGCTAGTGCAGAACTTTAATGCTGCTCTGTGTTTTGTTGGAGGTGTTAAGACAAGTTGGATAATAAGCAAGCATGCCTGCTCCTTCCAGTTGCAAACGTTGACATAGATGTTAAATCTCCCATAATCCTTCTCTTCATAATCACAATATCAAGTTAATTGTGTTGTGTGCCTCGAATGTGAGGAAAGCAAGCAGTAGTCTTTAAACTGCTCATGGTGGTCTTCTCCCTTCAAGAAACAAGTAATTAAAACATAATAACCTAATAAACACTGTATTGCCCCTTCCCATGTTTCTCCAAGTGAAATAATAGGAAAGTAGGGGATGAAATCACTTTTTCTCTTTTACAACTTACTGGATTTCCTTTCCTTTGTTTTAAGGATTGTAGAAGTGCACTGCACAAATCGTGTTGCCTTACAATGGTAATTTGTTCACTTCAGCTGTACTCAAAATAGCAGGATATAAATCAGTAATGAATCAGTAATAATTAAAGTTTTCAACAGTTTCCTCAGTTGATCCTGTTATGAGAGCTGCTGTTGCATGAGATCAGGATGACTGGAAGTTGGAGACAAGGATATTAGAAATCCCTGGATATATTGCATACCAGTACATCAAAACATGATGGGCTATGAGCAGTGATGCCTCACATGCTGTCCTTTTCAGAGGGAGGGGCAGGATCTTGGTGGATGGCTCTTCTCCCTTCCTGCCTAAAAAGGGAAGCTAACATTTTGTGTTATGTTTCTCCTCCTCCATTATCTACATGTTAATCTTCATTAACTGATTCAAGTAGACAGCCAGCACATTACAGACCTTATCCAATTATGCACTGTTAGTAAGACACTGAAATCTGAGCTTCAGGTCACCTTGTGAATGGTGTTGTATCAGAGCATTTCATATCAACAGCAGTTTTATTTCAGAAAGTTAGTAATACCCCCTACAAATCCTGTACATCAGGGAAGTAATAATTTAAAAAAAAAAAAAAAAAAACCCCAAATGCAACAGCTGCAACTACAAGCAAACCCACAAGTTCAAGTGTTTCTGCTGTACAGGAGTGAGTGTCAAGGAAGTCCCTGTTTCAGCCTGTGCTGAAGGCTCTTAGCTCTCTGCCACATAAGACTTTGGCAGGGCTGTGGCTAGCTGGCTGTGACTGTTCCTGGCTGGCTATCAATCACAGCACAGAACAATAAACCAGGATATAAATACTTCTCCCAATTAGGCTTTCCCTCCTTCTTTTCAGAAGTCCTAACATGCAAGCCCTACTTAGTCGAATCAGGTGAAAAAAGTTTTTTTTTTTTCAGAAAGTATTGTTTGAAGAGTAAAGATGCAATAGCTTATTCTGTTCCATGCAGTCAAGTTATGAATTTTAGGATGGCTCATTTCAATGTTTTTAAGCACATAGTTTCTTCAGTCTGTTTTATGCAGAAGTGCTTCCTATATAGTTGTGTCCATGTCTTTTTCATTTAAAACAAACCCCACCTGTACTCAGGGTTGAAATGCCTTGCAGCCATTCTTTGAGAAGCTGGTGATAAGTGTAGTGTCAATAAAGCATGTTTGAATTGAAAGTTCAAATAACTATAGTGCCCTACTCTGCTCCTCTCTATAATAAAAAAAAAGGTAGTCTGGCAAAAATGGAAGATAAATTAATGAGAGCTTTGTATAGAGTTAGTTCCAGAGTAAAGCTTTAGTGTTTTGGGTTTTTTCAATGAAGATTTTCTAATTAAATCGCTTCTGTAATTGATGCAAAGTATCCTAGTGTTACTGTTTTTCAACAATAAAAATGTTTGCTTTAAAGGAGTTCATGTTTATTAATTGTGTGATTTCTCTTTTGTTCAGATGAAATGCAACAAGTAGAGGGTAGTTCTACAAGTGAACAACAGTCAGATCCTGGTCCAGATCCTACAAAAAACGAGGATCCAAATCATCCTACTGATGGAACAGAAGAACCTGAACTTACCAAAGAGATGGAGGCACTAGCCCTGCAACCTGAAAGTCCACTGGAGAGTGAAACTGCCTTAGATGACATTGATCTTAAAAAAGTTCAAGATTCTGAGGAGTAAGAAGAGGATAGGAAGGGACTGAGAGTTCTCAAGGGTACTAAAGAATTTTTAATGCTGACCATGTCTGAGTTCTTGGAGCATGGCTTATGCAAGACTTCTTTTAAAATACAGAATGTCTCTGTTCATCAAGAAATAGAATACTGGCTACTTTATCTCTAAATACTCCAGGTTTTGTTGTAAATTGTCAAGATAGGTATTTATTATCTGCTAAAAATTAGTGGCATAGATCCATCTGTATGTATACCAACAATAAGCCCAGTGAAACTCTTGAGTTTCTGTGGTTAATGAGCCACATAGTGAAAAATGAACAGCATTTGATTTGGATTATTCATGTTTTCCAAACTTAAAACTTACTTTAATTGTAATTTAATTTTTTTTTTCTGCAAGTGCATAGACCTGTAGTTAAAAGCACTGGAGGGCCAACTCTTAAATTGCTTTTTTTTCAGCACTTTATGAAGCTTTATCTGAAGGAATTCAGTAGCAATTAAGTTTCTGAAGATACTCATCTGAACTCTCAGTTTTTCATGACATTACTGTAAATATTTTTGACTAGTCAGAGCACAAAAATAATATCTATTTTGTGGCAATTGTAGTAAATGAAACTGCTGTTCCAGGTGTCTCAAGCTGATGGTGCAATGTGTATTTCACTATTGGTTTGGTTAGAAATATTCCAAAGTTTACTGAAGGGAAGACCAGAATGACTCAAAATATTTTGACTGACAAGAATAATGCATTCTAAATTTTTCAGGTAAAGATGCCTTAGAGCACAGTGGGATGTTGCTTGTGAATTATTTCATAAACAAAAATGCTAAGTATTTTTCATGCTGAACTGGTCACAGTGAATTAGATAAGAAAATTCATGTGTGCATTGAAACAACTGGGATTTCACTTTGGCTTTCAGATCTAGAAAATAGCTCCCCTCAGCTTCGTTTTTCACTCAGATTTATTTCTGTGTCTCATGAAATCAATGGGAATGCCACAACTGAAAATATCACTTGCTGCATAAGGATGGCAAAATTGGAGATTTATTGTCAGCTGAATCAGTGGTGTTTTAAAAATAGCAGTATTCTTCTAATTAGAGGAGTAAGGACCATCCTCAAAACAGAGAAAACACTCTTAATTTTTTTTACTATTTAATATGTTGAAAGTTTTTGTTTAATATTCTGAAAACTGTAAGAATGAGGATACATAAATCCACCTGTGCAGGGAATGTACTTGTGTTTTAATTTCAAGGATTAGTAGATTGTGATGAATAAAGGGAATTTTTTTAAAAGAAAGGGGCTGTGTGGCAATTATGTTTCCTGTGTCTGTAACATGGGGACATTCTTCTGTGACATGCAGGGGACTCCTGTAGCTTGAGTATACAAATTTAACTTCTGGACAATTGGCAGGCAAGAAATGCCTGCCTGGAACTCAGATGTGTTGTCATGCTGCAGTCACCCTCCACTCTGAGGTCTGGGAATGCACAAGTGCTGCTGCCTCCCTGTTCCACTCACAGCCTTTGGGGCTCACAGGGGTGTTGCTGTTCAAGGATTCTCTGAAATCCATCCCTTCAGGGCAAAAGGGTCAGGGTTTTGGAAGTGTGGTAAATCCCCAGCACCAATCCTGCTTTCATTCTCCCAGTGGTGGAGCCTTGCTCACTGGAAATCTTTGATTCCTCATCAGATCTCATCTCCACCCTGCTTCCAGCAGGAAAGCTGGACTAGATAAGCTCCAGAGAGCCCTGCCAACACAGACTGTCCTGTGGCTCTGGGCTAACTTAGGAGAGAAGGAAGGAACTCAGCAGACAAGCTACAGCCTGAAAGAAGGGCTTGGAAATGTTTAGAAAGCATCATTGACTTTAGGCCTTGACAGAATGGAAGAAGTATGTGAGGAAGTGTATTATAAGAAATAAAAGTATTTATCCTTAGTTTCCTAAAAATTAGTGAGCAGTTTAGTACTTTTGGATAACAAAATTATGGTAAGGATTCCATTTCAAGCAACTTTTATTATAATATTGCCACTGTTTATCATATGTCATCTTAATTTCTTCACTCTCTATACAACATATGATAAAAGAAATGTTACACTAACATTTTTTTCTGGAATTTCACTTAATTCCATGTGTGTTGTTGTGTACTTGTTTTATGTTAACCTACTTATGGGGTTAACATTAGAGAGAAAAGTAGGGTTTTTTTCATCTAAACTGGACTGTCAGCTTCTCAGGGGGCTCTTCTGCTTTGTTTTCAAGCCGCCTTTCTTGACAGGTGGTTACTTTGTTCCAGTCCACAGAGGAAAATTCCATTAGAGATCTTGTCATTGCTCGCACTAAAACTGCATCTTCAGGGTCCTCAAATGGTACTCTACAAAAAGAACAAAGCAAGTCCATTACCTGAACATTCCCAAATCCCTTCAGAACTAATTCACAAGACACACTCTCTGGAAAATGAAAGTAGCAGTCACGATGACACTAAAGAGGGAGGATTTAAAATTTTTTAATTTTCAGTAGGTTTTCTTCTACCAAATTTAATAAAGCAGAACAAAATGAAAAAAGGTCAGAGTCATGAGATTCTATTCGAAAAAATCATGCTATAAATTATTTTTAAAGTATTTATAGTAGACTTAAAAATGTTTCTTTGTTTTCAATTTTTTTTCCCCCAAAAGTTGTAATTATATACTTTTAATGCTCTGATTCAATGGACATGATTGAAGTGATTTGGTACCCGTTACTAGAAATGCACATTTATTTCACTGTGGATCTCTTAACTAGCCCACAGGCAAATATCCATTCTGCAGGCTCTGAATCCAGATCACTGTGAGCTGGTGTTGGTGTATCCTGCCACAGCTGCTGTCTGGGAGAGAAAAGCAGCAGATCCACACCATCACAGCAGCACTGACAGGGAACCAAAACCTTCTAACTCACATGCAATGTGAAAACTTTGTCTTACAAGAACTTATTTCTTAAAGATAAGAACACACCTCATAGAAGCCACAGGACTGTCTCCACTGAGTGTCATGCACTTTGTCATGGAAAGACACCTTGCAAAGCCTCAGCATTTCCATATATGACTCCAGGCAGCTGTACATCCATTCTAGCAATGAGGACAGCCTACTGCACTGAAGGCAGGTAAGACTTAATTGTTCAACAGAAATAACTTGATTTTTAAAGAGCTGTGCTCAGAGTACTGTTAAAGGATATTATATGTAGGCTCTTATTATTTCCTTCAATGTCTTTTCAAATCTTCTCGTGTGTAAAGCTAGAAAGTAAAGCCAAGCCTGATACCTAAAGTTTGCTCTTTGATACCTAAATCTGCTCTTACAAAGTTTGCATCTAAAATGTCATCACATTAAAATGCAACTTTTCTCCTGTCTCAATCCAGACACAGAGATAAAACTTTTACATTTATTTCTATGATTTTGAAACTGAACAGAATAAAATTAACATCACATACAGAATAAAATAATTTCATTCTCCAAGTCATAATATTTTCCAGAGAGTGTGGTTTTGAACAGCCAGTCAGGAGAACATTTTCTGAGACATAATACAGAACAGCTATTCTGATGCTCTAATACTTTGAGCATGCTTTTTCTAGTGATCAGTGTTTGATCTTACAAATAAATGGCATTTCTATGTACCCATTTCCAAATGGGGAATACCTTTCAATACTAAAATTTAGAAACAAACCTAGTGTAGAGTTGCATCTATATTGAATACAAAGACCTGAAACTGTTTCAAATGCTCATTTTTACTAGACATTTTCTCTAGTTAGGAAGAGGAAGAGGAACTTAAATGTTTCAGAGATGCAAAAGGAAGAAGACACTGAAAACATTACTTACCTATTAGTGTTATTTCCAAATTCATGACCTATAAGAGAAAGGTCAAATTGTGATGTTAATGGCTGTACAGCAATTTGAGTAGCTGAGAATTGATTGCTATCCTGATCCTAAATTGCTTGTTCAAATTAATTGAAAACTAGCACGTGATTTCAAATGTTTAAGATAATATTTTATTCAATTACTATGGAAGCAAGTATTTGCTGGGTTTTAAGTGTACGTAGTTTTAAGGTTTTTGTATTTTATTTCCTGTAGACAGACACATCCAGGCTTTTTTTTCTTTCACAGAAAATGATGCCACTGTAGATGTGTAAGATTGCGGGGTAGAGATAAAGACAGCTGTCTGCCTGCTTTGAAAATCATCAGCAAAACAAATTATTAAATATGCTTAAACTATCCTCCTTTCCCCAGCCTCTTCAAAATCATTGTTAAATACACTGCTTTCAGTTTTACTATTGTGATATATACATTAAAAAAAACTTGCAGGTATTTGATTACTTTCTAAACTTTCATCTACACTATTTAAAGTGCTACAATTTCAGTTATCTATGCACAATGGTGGGGTTTTTATCTTTAAAACATCAAAAGCTGACAGGGTTGTGTGGGATTTCAGAGTTGGTTCTGGATTGTGATACAAATCTCATGGTTCCAGTTGGTGTTCACCTGCTTTCTTGTGCCGGGATCATGCTGCCTTCAAGATCTGAATGGTTTAAGAACCCTAAAAATTGCTTTATATGCTGTTATAAGACATCATTAAAATACTCCCAGCTTGGAAAGCATAAAGAGGAATCTGCTTACAAAACCAGATACATAAAATTTAGAACACTAGAAGAAAATATTTTCTTCAGGAGATTATCTTGTAAAAGCACTAGAGGGCATCAAAACTCTATGATGCTGAGCACTGAGAGTCAGAAGTCGATTGAGATGTTTTAAATAGAAGTAAAACTAAACACAAGACTCTTACTGACAGAAATTTTTCAGTTATCTTTAAGGACAATTCTGTAACTACAGGTATGACCAGAATTTATCTGCCACAATACTCTCAGTAGAAGGATTCATTTGTTGCCTGCTGCTGCCACGACTACTTACTTTATGAAGCAAACCAGCTGAGTTCTCGATGCATTTATATTTTATTACTAAAACCAATAATGTTTTATCAGATGAATGAAAAAAACCATTTCTAATTCAAATGACCTAAAAATGTATGCCTTCCTTCGAGCATTATAAATACCTGAGGGCATTATTGGTCTTCTGGCTGGTTGAGTGGATCTGCCAGATCCCACCGTAGTCCCCAGGGCTGTGTCTGCTCTCTTCTCAAAAGCCACTGACTGCATCATCCAAGCCTTTTTGGGGTTATAGAGATTAAGTGCTGACTCCCTTTCTTTTTGGGTAACTACTGTTAAAAGGGATATGAAAAAAATTAATTTTATTTCTATCCGTTGAAAAGGCAGCATACAAAAGGTGATTCATACATTTTCTGTGCAGTTTTTTTAACAACAATAATAATATTAATTACACAATTTCATGGCAATTCAAAATGGGAACATGGAGTGATACTTTCTAAGGCATTAGGGTGAAGCCCTATACAGTAAAGTATTTTCTTCTGAGTGCAGTAGGATCAGAAGTTTTAAATGAAGATGCTGGAAAGCAAGATTTTTCATGCTGCTTAAATGAGATCTCCTGCAGAAATAAGTAAAGATTTGAAAGTGTCTTTATGAATAGCAAAAACAAGTCTTGGTTTAAGACCAGTTCAATTCCCATTGGTCAATTACAGGGAAAACCCTAGGAGTGCAATCAGAAGAAAAATTTAAGTTTTTCCTGTTTTCCACTTTAAGAGAACTAACTTGAATTTTTAAACAAATGTTTTGAGACTGTTAAATCTGTTAAATCAAATTGGGGACGGTGGCTTAATTTTATGAACCTTATACTAATCTAGTACTTCAGCTATGGAACAGAAGTCAGCTAAACTTTTAGAACAAGTAACTGGCAGGAGGATTTTCAGTTCAGGGAAGTTTTGGAGTCATGGTGTCTAGGGGACCAATTAGGAAGGAACTGCAGTAGTCATGCCTGAAGGTAGTGGAACATGAGCACATGTCTTGTGTGAAGGAGACAGCCAGGACTATGCTGGTAATGTTCTACAGATGGTGAAGAAGCTTTGTAATGTTTTAGAGAAATATTTCACTAAATAGAAAGTCCAGGATACAGCTTGATACAAATTACTGCCTCAAGTCTTAATCCAGGACTGATTATAGTAGAACTGTAGTTAGGAGATGGAGTCCAGGAAGTTTTAAGGAAGTGTTTCTAGACATGTAAATGCAACACGGATTTTTCAGCACATTAAGCTTCAGTCATCGCTCCCCAGTCAAAAAGTGCTATTTTAGTAACAGCCTGGCAGATGTGCTAAGCATAAGTGTAACACCAGAGCAAGTGCTCAGGAGAGTGGGGGTACCTGTGCAGAATGATGACTCTGTGAGCAAATGGGCACATCCAGCAACCCCTCATCAGCCCCTGCACCTGCTGGGGCCCATCCAGCAGCTTCCTGCACAGCAGCTGCACAGCTCCCCAGCACCTGCACATGTCCTGCACCTGCCTTCTCAGTCCCTTTTCAAGGTGCTGCACTTTCCTTACTGCTTTCTTACAGAGCTGAGGTAGGAATCAGCTACTTTCTCAGCGCTCTCCAGTAATTTTCAGTCCTGTCAGTCCCACAGTTCTCCTTATACCAGAGATAAAAATCACCAAAGGTGGTTTTCTGGGTACATTGTGGCATGTTTATGGATTCACTGATTTAAAATCTGGCTATTCTTAAGAATTTTTTTTCTGTAGAATTTTCAGTAGACAAGCTATGATAGATCTCTTGATAACTTGTGAACATTTATTATATTTGAAAGCTTGTTCTGCATTTACCTTATCAAAAAATGTGCATATATATACTTAAACTGTACAGAAACATGTACAAACCTAAGTAAGCACACTCACCCATGTGAATATACCAGTGAATGCACAGAGATAGGTACATGTTTCTAAGCACAAGTTTTTATCTTTGCTCAAATGGACCAAGACACAAGAAAAACCAAAACAATTTAAAAAGAAAAATAAATCAAAACATTTGACAAAGTGGTTATGCCATGCAAACTCTTTTTTCTTGATAAATCTTACAAAAACCAGGTATCTGGTTGATTAGTTCTCTTTCTCTATCAACAAATGCATGTGAAACAACAGATAGGGTAATTCCACCTATGTTTCCAAACTGGTTAGAACCAAAAGCAACTGCCAGTGCTTTGTGAGAGAGGAAAGCAATCCTTACACTTCCTGTCAAGGAGCTGAACTGAGGGAAGGAAGTAGATCACATAGAGCCGGTAGTCTGGATCATATTCCAGAGGGTTATGGAATAGGTCTGCAAAACATACACAGAAAACAAGCCCCAATGTCACAAAAAAGCAAATCCAGCAAAACAACAACTTTGCAAGACAGGACAATTAAAGGTCACTAGGAGCCAAAGATTTTGTACAAAATATCAAATTCAGATTGTTCTTAGGCTGCATAAACACTTTACACATGTGAAATTACTCATCTAAACATGGACTGCAGGAACTGACTTACTGCAGAGCATGCAAAATACCACAGGCAAGATCTGAGTGCATGGAGTCATCATGCACTCCAAACCTTTATAGCAAAAAACACTGATGTGTTTGCCTTTGATTTTCTTATGTAGTGTTAGGTAATCCCTATTTTAAATAGCAATGGTCTTTTATGTGTGGCAATTTAAATGTAAGACACAAAATTTGTAGGAGGAAGGAGTTTTTATTATCAGATGATCACCTAGGACACTATCAGAGCTGATAAGAGGTGTATCCCACAGATACAATATAAAATGCAAATACACAGCTGTCTGATATTTTGACAGATGATGAGTTTGAAAACTCAAGAAACATAAGAGAATCATGTTTCAGAGGGCCTTAATTCCTAAGAACCTGGGTTCTAGTTGCATTCCTTGACACTGGAGATATCAAGCTCCAAAAGCTCATTAGCAACTTGGCTAAAATGTTTATGTTCAGGTTCACACTACTTGTCTAACCAAACCTTTGCAACACAGGGACAGGTATCAGCCCTGTGCTGCTGCTTGGCCAGGCGTGGAACATGAGCCTAGCTCAAATGCCAAATCAGTTTGTTTAGTGACAGTGATATCTGAGGCTGATTAAAATAGAAACTGGCTCATTCACAGATGAGCTAATAAACAAGCAAGTGTTGTAGGGTGGGACCTCTTTTCTACATAAAAAACATTACAATGCTTTTTATCTCCTTATACAAGTGCTGTTCTTCTAAGTCAGTACAAATAATCAGGAGGCTGTCACCTTGACATGAGAGCAGGGTAAAAATCTTAAATTAATCATCTTTACAACTACTGCTACAGTCTGCAGTTCACCTGTTTTTCTCTTTCTGAGGACAAACTGTGGCTAATACTTGCTCTAGGGTAAAAAAATATGTCATTTAGCACTTAAGGAGAGGAAGATGGTATTACAGAAGCAAGTAAGAGATAGCAGAAGAAAAAAGTCAGAAAATCTTCCACACAGATTTGTAATCTACAAGATGTAATTTCATGTTCTTCAGGACTGCTGAGAGGGTTCAATGCTTAATGAGATTTAGCAGGTATTTTGAAGATGCAACAAGGCTGGAATGAGCATTTGTCCTCTCCTTCATAGAAAACACCTGTTCATGTATTCAGAGAACTTTTTATTTTAATTCTTTAACATATTTTTAAAAATTGCTGTACTGAAAATTAGTAAAACACCCACGAGGTGGCAGCAAAAGAAAGTTCTATTTTAACTGAATGAATTTTTTTTCCTAGAAAGTGTTAATCAGAAAGAATATTATGTATGTATCTGATAAGTCTATTCTTGAGTTGAGAAAATATACCACAGCACTCCAAAGAGAAAAATGTTTCAGAAAGATCTCTAAAAGCAGGTGTGTTTGGTAGTGGAACAAAAAAATATTTAAGAGAATATTTTCCAAGACACAAAACAGGTTTGATATTAAACTTGTGAATCTGGATGCTGCTTGGATTATGTCCCTGCTCAACAACACTGATTTGTAGGTTTGTTTTAGAGAATGTGCACTTTTCTACTACTCATTTTTACAACAAATTCAACCCTTGTACAGATCAAGATGGTTTTGTTTTACAAAACATCTGGGATCAATTTCTGGCTGAGCTATCTACTTTCTTGTCAAGGTCATGCAATTTTAGTTGTACAAATTAGGATAATGCTTTCTTCCTCCACAGATTTGTCTGTTTTCTCTATTTGGAGTGTAGGAAAACAGTGTGCCTCTGCCACATGGGGCAGAAACATAGTGAACAAGAGAGTTTCCTGAGGTCTAGCAGCAGGATGTTATCAGCTGTGGACAATAAATCAGTTGAGGCAATTTACAGAGTACGTAACAAAAATCTTGGATTGCAAAAGGGAGATGTGAGCACAGGGTGAGCCCACAAGGCAGCACTCTGAATCTCCCAAAGGCTGCAGTTGTAGGCAGCACATGCAGTAAATCTTCTGAAGCTGAGTGTCTTCCCTAGACACCTGCTGAAGGATGGTTCTTATGCTACACATCCAGTGCAGGGCAGTGGCTAAAATCACAAGAGAGCCTTCAGGAAGAGAAATGCAACATTTTGGCAGCTGGATGCCACTCCTAAAGCAAACAATGATAGTGTGTTTTAATAGTTCTATTGTCCCCAAGAGCTACAAAATAATAAAATGGTGTTAAGCATCCAGAAGCTCTATTGAGGGTTAGCAAGTGACTTTTTTTCTTTAAATCAGATTAGCAATAAAAAAGATTTACCTCATAACAGTGGGAAGTCTCACTGGTTTTGTTTTATAAAAGTGAGTTGTGGGCACAGCCCTTTGCAAAGCTACACAGTGCAAATTCTGCACCCATTCAATATTTATTAGTATTGCAAGAAGGCAGATAAATTATATAGTAATACGATATATAGGATATGTCTTTTAGAATTTATTTTGTTTATTTACTGATTTAATTTACTTCAAATATGACAGAGCATTTTATTAACCTAGTAGAGACCTGTTAATTTGAGAATTCATTATTACAAAATCCCCTTGAAGCAAACATGTTGACAATTTTTTTCACGACTGCAAAGATCATGAAGGAACGACTTTAAAGTTATGATTACTAAGGTCATTAAGTTTCTCCCACTGATTACTTTTTATTCTTGTACAAATATTTGACTAAACAACATTTTTTTTAAAATTAGGGTAGATCAGTATATTATATATATTGTTTGATTGTTCTTTCAGACACTTCCTTTTCTGTGGTGGTGGCTGGTCCAATTTGCATGCAATTTTCACTGTCCCTTTGTAACTGCCATTTATAATAACTCAGCAGCACTTTAACTATCTGCTCTGTATTTCCCACAGATGGTTGCAACAAGTACAACAAACTTCCTGTGCTTGTTGAAGCTCCTTATTAATTTGTAGAGCTAACATTAAATTCAAGTGACTGCACCATTCATACATAGGATGTCTCTCCAGACGCTGCCTAATCACTTCAAACAACTGCATTCTTAAATGGACTCATTTTTCTATCTTGCATATAATGACAAGAATTTCAATAGTTTGGCTGGCATGTTGTCTTCCTAAACACTTGATTTGTTTTTATTAGTTTCAGTTCAGGGTCAAGTTCAATTAAAAGTTTAATTTTTCATTCATATTTTCCTTTCCCACAATCACACATTCAGTTTTCTGAATGCTTAAGGAAGTGTTATGGCCTGGTGACATTCTGACATTCACCTCCTTAACCATGTCACCAAGGCACAAAGCTTGTTTACTGTCTTCTCCAAGTACTAAGCATTTGCCATGTCCCATGTTGACATTCCTTTAAGATTCATAGAAAAACACTGCTTATATTTTCATTTTCAATACCTTATTAGCATATAATCCTACCTTCTTATATTGTAACTTACTGGCACCAACACTGTCTTGTATGACTTCTTTTGAAATTTCAGAGATGGTGCAATTTTCATTTTCAGCCAGTGTATCAGAAAGTATTTTCCTTAACAGACATTGTTATGAATAATACCTAAAGTACATTTATTAGACTCTAGAAATCCAGTCAGCCAAAAAGATGCAGAAAGGAAGTTCTATAAGCAAGAGAATTAATGAGGCAGGAATTTGGGCTCTATAAGCTATCACTCACAGTCTCAACAGCAGTTAACACCCATTTTTCAACTCCTTTCACCTCTATGATAATCTTACCCTACTCCTGGGTTCCATTATAGCTGTAAACTCCTTAGACATCATCCAAGCTACTGGCAGCCAGCAGCCAAAAAGTTAACTTCTGAACTCACTTAGCAGTTTTTCCTCAGTTGAGGTACTCTTTGTGGAATTTTCATGTCTTAGAGATCTCTTTCTTCTGTCAAATTTGGCTGAAATTGCTAATTAGCTTCAAAAGGTATTGGCAAATGATGTGGAAATAGACAAAAAACATCCCGATAAGAAACTAAAAAGCTACTACTTGCTATTCTGCAAAATAAAAATAAGGTATTACTTAGAGTCTGCAAGCTTATCATTCCTTTCAATTCCTTCACTGTTTTGCCAAGTTTTCTTAACTCGTTGTTGTGAAGAAACAGAATCTGTAAGGAACATAGGTGTTTCAGAGCACCTGAAATAAAATGAAAAAATAATTAATCATTCTCACCATAGCTGCCTTTATTAGAACATTATTTTGCTATGCTGTACACTGAATTTGGTATTTTAGTTATCTATGTATGCCTGTCTTTTAGTAACACATTGCATGAGGTGTTAATTAAGCAACAAATTAAAGATATTTCAATAGTTCAATATTAATTAAACAATAAATTAAAAATATTTCAATATCCTTTTCACCTTTCTAGTCACATCCTTTAAGCAGATGCCTTTTCTTCATTCCAATTTTTTCCATTTGTCCACATTACCTTGCATCAACAAATCAGCTTCAATTGCAACCTCTCTTCTACCTCCTTTCATTCCTCCTATATCCCTGTAATCTTTGGTTAATTAATTTCCTTTTACCTTGACCTAATATTGCCTTTGCCTGACAAAGAATAGTATATGCCTAATACTACCTTTGTCTCACAAGCAGTAAATAGTGCATTCCTTAGAAAATAGTTGTCTCAAGTAATTATTGATGTATTAAAAAGCTGTTACAAAATATTG